CACTCTCACTCCTCCCTTACCCCCCCCCCCCCCCCCCCTCTTCTTCTTCCTCTCTCTCTAAAACCCTCTATTTCTTTAACCTCCATAACCAAACTCTAGTACAAAACCAGAGGAAAGAAAACACATAACTGTGAATTTAGAAGAAGAAGAAAAAATAGTAGCGAAAATGTTGCTGGGGAAGAGGACAAGGCCACCAATGAAGAGAACAACAAGTATGACTGAATTCACCTTAGATCTCAACCTCAATCATGACCCTAATTCTCCTGTTAATTATCAGCCCTTTGATCCTCACAACCCTTTCACACCCATTTCTCCTTCAAATACCCAGCTGCTAGATCAACAACAACGTATTTTGACCACAGCTAAAACAATCCCTACTACCAGAAACCGTCGAAAGTCTGCTGATTTTGTTGAAACTGCTAATTTTTTGAAAGCTTGCTTCCTCTGTAAACGTCGCTTGATCCCTGGTCGTGATATCTACATGTACAGGTACTATTATATGCATATATACAACTTTTTTGTTTTAGAGACATAGCCGGAATTTGAAGTTACCGGCCGGTTTCAGTATTTAATTAGTTCTTTAATGTTACTCGATTCTTATATTCAATGATTTCTTAAGACAATTATAGAGTTTGGACAAAGTTACTAAATTCAGTTGAATCCGCTAGTTTACAAATTATTTAATTTTTATGCATTCACGGTGTAAAAACTCATGAGATCATCCAAATACAAGTTATAGCTAGTTGTTTATAGTACTAATAAGGATGGATTAGTAAATTGGAAGAGATGGTAAATAATTTATTTCAATTACTTCAAGTATACTGGTCTGGTAAAAAAATTTACCTTAAATATTTGTGTGATTTAAATTCTTAATTTTTTTTTTTGGATGATTATTTTGCAGAGGGGATAGTGCTTTTTGCAGCTCAGAGTGTAGAGAGCAGCAAATGAATATAGACGAGAAAAAGGAGAAGTGTTCATTGGTTGCATCAAGGAAGGATACTAGAAACTCCTCCGTGGGCGGCGGAAAGGGATCTGATGTCTCCGCCAAAAGCGAGACTGTCGCCGCCGTTTAGGGGTAGTGGAAATTAATCAAGCATATGGAGTGATATGTAGGCCACTATTTTACCCACACAATATAATGCATATCAAATCTATGTATTTTACATGTTGTGGGATGTTGATTACTATAAATATCTACGTACTCTCTCTATAAAATTATCTGGGCTGCTGAACAAGTTTTGCAAGGTTCAATTAATGGTTGACCGATCAATTATTACTATCTATGCAGCCATTCTTAGTGGAAGAAAAATCTCAAACTGCAGGTTTTAGCAAAACCATGATCATGGTTCTTTTTCTTTTTTATTTTTAGGTAAACCAAGCTCTTTTTTCTTTTCTTTTTTGGAGTTGGAACTTAGTAGAGCACCGGAGGGTGTGATGATTAATTCTTATTTTGTTTTTTCTGAATAAAAGGTGTGGTTTATATATTGTGCAAATATTAAATTATTTTTGATGTATTTTACTAATGAGATTCCCCTGGTCATGCTGTGAAGTTGCGATACCTCTTGTCCTTCTGATTGGGACACGCCAGCAATGAGAACCCCGCCTAAAGTAAAGCCAGTTGGGAATATAAAATTAAATGGAATCGCGTCATTATTGTCATTTGTAAAGTCCTTTTATTACTATTTCTTATCGTAATTTCGTGTTATTTATTTATGTATGTGCTTATCATTTATTTAAAAAAAAATATCATTTATTTTTGAATTTCTTGTCTAGTATACATGGGGAGATTGCAGAAGGAAAAAAAGGGAGGGGAAGAAAAAGAGGACGGTGAGATATCACAAAAATTAGAATTTGTCAATAATTGAGGGGACCAGAATATCAGATCATAAACTTTTTTTATGAAAGTATAAAGTAAATGTAGTATACGAGAACCGTCAATTTCATTTTCCCAAAATAAAAGAATATTTAAGCAACCAAAGCGGGTAAAAATTGCACGGGGCGCCCTATTTGTTCGCCCCCATTTAATCTATACCTATTTTTTTAAAAACTTATAATTTGTACCCACTTTTTAAATAACTTTAGCCCCCTTTCTCCTCCTCCTTCTGCTCCTTCGTTGTCTTCTTCTTCTTCTTCTTTCTGAAGATTAGACTTCAGGCCTCATAGATCCATGTTGGCTAGGTCTACAGCGATGTCAAATTCATGGTCCTAGACTTTGCATATACATCTTTTCTGGCATTGTTCTTGCTGTTTTCTCTTTCCTGTGGTTCCAAAGAATTGAAGATATTCCACTTGTCCCTCTTTCCTTTGAGAAATTTTTGTGGTCTCATAATATTTAAATAGTTAGAAACTACTGCTCAAACAACAGACTGAATCCCTTCGAGTTATTGATTCGCCTGACTCAAAAGCACGCACAAACTGCTTCGTCAACCGTCCATTAGAGACGGGATCAAGAAATACATAATTCATCCTACTTTGATACTGAACTGTATATAATGTTAATGATTGACTATGTACTTGTTTGTATGGACTTCAGTTCCTCCTCAAAAACTTCAGCTCTAGAGCTGAAGTTTGCCAGTTATAAAACAAAAACTTCAGCTCTAGAGCTGATGTTCGCCAATTACAAAAACAAAAACTTCAGCTCTAAAGCTGAAGTTCGCCAGTTACAAAATAAAAACTTCAGCTCTAGAGCTGAAGTTCGCCAGTTGTTATAAACAAAAACTTCAGCTCTAGAGCTGAAGTTCGCCAGTTACCAAACAAAAACTTCAGCTCTAGAGCTGAACTTCAGGCCCGGCTACTAGAATGCTGAAGTTTTGTGTGATTGCCTTTGCTACTTCAACCCCGTATGCTGAAGTTATGCGAAAAAGCGAGTACGCTTGCAATTTTTTTTTGCAAAATGGGAACAAGTTAAAACGTGACACAAAAAGCGGGTATAGATGCAATGCCCCGAAGCGGTGGTGCTAACTCTCTCGGTTAAAACAAATGGGAGGAACGGAGTACTATCATTTGGCGTAAAAATAGCTACTTAAAGAGCTTATATATTTGTGAAATTTACCCGTCATGACAAAGGTAGATTAATAATTTATTTTAAACAAAGAAATAAAATGAATTTGAAAAAAGAATTTTCACTTGGGCACATAAATCAAATAATAAAGGCGTCATTATTAAGGTCCAAAACCCCAAAAAGAAAAATGAAAAGAAGAGACACAAAGGAAAAGAGGAAAGGTGGATTGGCTGGATGTGCTCGTGCGGTGAATGGCTGACAACTCTGCTCTCTACTGGACTTATCTATGACACAGTCAATGTGAGTCAGGGTCTCAGTAGTTCACACTCATCGTTCACTTTTTTTCTGGACCCAAAACTCTTTTTATTTTTTTATTTTTTATTTATCTGATACTCCTATTTGATATCTGTGTTGGTGCATCGATTAATTCATATTTCTTCATTTTCAACTCGAACCCGAGACTTGATGGTCTAAAAGCTTTTTTAACTGCTTCTTACTCTCCATTGTCTAAGGAAAAAAAAACTTGCCATGCACGAGGCAATATGTACAACTTACACAGTTTGTCCTTAGAACTATGTAAGCTTATAAGGTAGAGTGGCTGTTTCCGATAGACTCTTGTGTCAAGAAAGCGATTTCAAGTTAAAATCGGCTTTAAAAACAAGAGTAAAAAGGTAAGGATGAAAATGAAATACACTTTGGTTTTGCTCGGGCGAAACTTTTCTTTCGCGTCTTGTCGCCTTCAAAAGTTTCCCTTGTCTTCCTTAGTCCTTTTAGGAGTAAGTATTAAGCATGACAATTTTTCTCGATATATATACTTTAAAATGCAATCAAATTATCGTAACATTATGCAATCAAAAAGGATTTTACACTTAATAAGCGAAAAAGAAATCTATGTCCTGTTCATTTCATCAGCATATATGGCATTTAAAAAGGAACTAGAAATCTCGAATACATCAGGGACGAATGAATTAAGTTGAAAAGTGGAGTTGCGTAAGCAAATTCCACCAATTTTAGTGAAAGGGTGATAGTGATTTTTTCTCCATGTAATTAAAGTGCACTTACGTCATGAAAGCAATAATTCTTTAATCTCATGATCTCTGCTTTTCTTTCTTCTTTTACTTTACGGAAAACATTCAAGGGGGAAAAAAATAATCTACCTCCTTTTGGTTTCTTCAGTAAAAGTAAATAAGAAAAAAGAAATAATTATGAAGAAAAATCCTAGCTAATTTCTTATTAATCCACAATTTGCAAGAGCGGATAAAATTGTGACTAACTTAGCCAAAAACAAATCATTGGGAAGAATATTAAATAGCCGGCCCATTTATGTTTTTATTCATCTCGCAATATAGTAAAGAGAATGATATAATTTGGGTTTCAAAAAGAATTACGAATTGTGCTGTGTCAGGTCTTGCTCCCAGAACCACTATTAGTGGCATTCTGGACCTTATTATTAGTGAGTGGTCCTTTATTTCTCAGATTCTTCCCATAATTCATAAAACAGCTTGTTTGATAGCTATTTGTCTTCATCGATAATGGCTTTCCCTTTCTCTCAACGGGAGAAAGAGGACACACATGACAGAAAACTCAACAATATAATGGCAACAATGGCCAAAGAAAAGGTCGAGAAATTTGTTTGACTTAAAAGGTTAACGAACAGTGTTTAAGCAAATCAATCAAATGTATGAAAAGGGGTAAATCGTAATCAAAGATAATCAACACTAGAGTATAAGTAATCCTTTGTGGTTTGGTGATTCGGAGCAGTTAAAGGACAAAGTTGCGTGATAATGTTACAAAGATCAGAGGTATCCGTTTTTCAGAGAAAGAGAGAGAGAGAAATTGAGACAGAGAGATAGAGAGAGTAAGTAGAAATGTTATTGATCAAAGATTCTCCCTCTTTACACAGTTGGGAACCCCCCTTATATAGCGGAGAGATTTTTCCTTTTTCCCTATTTACGATATAAAGATAAAATGTATAAACTAAAGATAAAGTGCACGTTACAGAGGGGCCGACGTGATTACATGGTCGTCCCTTGGGCCCGACCTTTGTCCACACGACAGGTCGAAGGCATTTTGAGGACGGGGTTGGTCAAACTCGACCCTATACAGTTAGTCCTCCGCCCGTCGAGGTCGCAATATGCGTCCTTGATGGGCGGAATCGATGCCCTCGTTCTTTAGGGAGTTTGACACCGCCGGGGGACCGTGACGTGACATATAGGAGGCAGTCATCATGACAGTCAGGCCGTCAAGGCGTTGTGCCTTCCCTGATGTGACGTTGACAACTGCAGATATCATCATTACGCATATTCTCGAGGTAGGAACTCAGCAATTCCGGCGCTTGGTTTCCCGCGCTGGTTCAAATTCTGACTCTTCGATTCTTGCGCTTCCCAATCCTTATAAATAGGGGAGGGGTTTAACTTAACCAGAACTTTTGACTACTTACACTCCCTTCCTAGGATATATTTCCTTTTTCCGGTGCATTTTTCTTGATCGAGAATCCCCTTCCCTATATCGTGCATAGATCTTCCTCCATTATCACCGCAATGCCTAAACCTTACCGCGGCGACGAGATGATTCCGGCGGCTGCACCATTAAATCTGCCCTCGCCTTCTGATGACAGTGCGGCGGAGGGAGAAGAGGATATGAGTCCTCTGACCGTGGAGGCGCTGCTGCCTCAACGCACCTCATCGCGGAACGATTTTAGTAAGGATTCTGCCACTCCGGTCCCTGAGATTTCCAGGTCATTGCAGAACCATCTGGATGGTCTCCGCGTCAAGTATAATGTACCGGCATTCGTAGAGATGATTCCGGTCGGGAAGGATCTTGTGACCGTTCACAGGCCGGGATTTTGCGCCTTTTATGAATACCCGTTCACGATTGGCTACAACATTCCCCTCTTTCCGTTGGTGGAAGTGTTTTGCCGATTTTATAATGTCTGCCCAGCTCAGCTTACACCGTACACGCTGAAGATGCTCCGGCTGTTAACTACGTATGCGGAGTTGGCGGGGTGTAGCGTTACGGTCCATCACCTCTTGCAGCTGTTCAATGCCTGTTATATGAGGGGGACCATGGTACATTTACGGGGTCGCAGTACGAGGGGGCTGGTGGTTAAGACTGACGACCGGTCCAGCCGCGGGTTTTGGCGTAGGTACTTTTTCATCAGGACCGAGCACCT